TCAGACAGAACTCCTCCAAATATTTTTGAGGATGTGCTTCCTTCTGGCCAGTACCTAGTAGAAAGCTTTGACCCTGCCTCTAACTCTTCTCATTTCTGATTTTACTTTTTCTGTGGACTCCTGAGTCCCACAATCTCAGGACAGACATTAAGCTGAAATTAGTGTTTGTTTCTTGGCACTGTTAATTGTGAGGCTTGGCACAATGCTAGAAAATGTAACAAAGCTTCAGTGAGGGAAACTGCCACAAACGTGTCAAAGTCATAATCTAATTGCTCAGAAGATTATAACCCTAAAATTGCTGAGATTGCCCCACCATTGACTAAATGAAATTCATTTTAAAGTCTCAGCATTGAGGTAGCTTCCTCATGGAATTCTCCCCTGACAGGACCCTTCTCCAACACCAGAGCAGATATTTCAGCAGTCAGCTCCCACGAAAACTGTATTTTCCAATGCAACATTGGTCCCATACATATTATTATGTGACATAATAGTACACATTAGTGTTTATTTTGTGTTTTAGTGCAGTTTTGCATTTCCCCCTCCAGAATAGAATACTAGATTAAACACCTTGGAGGAATAATTCATGTTTTATTTACCAATCATTTTTTATAGATACAATGCCTGGCAGATAGCAGATAATGCATAAATTCTGAATGAATTCCTAAGAACATACAAGCATAAGGTGGGATCCAAAACTGAAAAAGAGAACTTCTTTTATTTTCCAAGAAAGCATTCTTCTTCATATCCAGGAAGCTAGAGACTCATTTCTGGCAGCATCCATCAAGGGGGTGTCCCCACCACTTTCCTAGCCTGTTTGCACAGGTTCTTTGGGCCCTCTGCCCCACTCCACTCCAGGTTAAAATTACAATGACCATGAAGTGCTTCCTCAGAGTTGTATTTCACAGTTTTATGCCATGGAGACCCTTGTATCAATGACACCAATCCTCTTTCCTGACCAAGGCCAAACAGGAACTCACTGAGTTGGTTTAATAAATAAAATTTTCTTTCTCTTGTCATGGACTTGAAAATTCAGAATATTATGGGCCCTAAAACAACAATTATTTTCTACAAGTCATTGTGTTTAATATTTAATCCTTACACTCAAATATATGACCAATAGCTTGTAGTCTCTGCATATTTCCTGAATGAATTAGTGTGAATAACTCCCTGGCAAGAAGGAGAATTTCCAAAGGGAGACACAACTAGAGAAAAGAGGGGATCACAAAAAGAAGGACTGAGAGTCAACCAGTAATTTTCTTGTAACCAGAGCAGCTAGTGGATGGAGAAAATGAAACATCATCTGATCTGCTGAAATATGTCAAGTTGGTATTTATGACTCACTAAGTTTCCATAGAAATTACTGAGGCAACCAACATTAAGTTCTGCAAACACACAGATCCCTCTTTGGTGTTTTCCAAACCTTCATCCATCTAAGGAGTTTCCTCAGAGAGTCTAACACCCCAGGGAGAAGGACAGATAACTTTATATTATACCTGCCAGTGGTGCAGCAGATCCAGAGTCAATCAGAAGAGGCTGGGAAAGGAGTGAGAAGTGCCACAGGGGTCAGGAAAGAGGCTACGAACAGCAAGGGGCCAGTAAGTTAATGAAGGTCCTTTGGTTTGTGGATAGAGGCAGCCAATCCAATCCCCCCTTTTTTTTAATTTTTATTTTAATTGTTGTTCAAGTGCAGTTTTCTGTCTTTTACTCCTATCCAATCCCTTCTCTTGATACTTTTGATATAGTAGGTCTAAAAGTGGGATTAATGGCTAGGGCAGCTTCCAGGACAATGATTGGTTTTGGGTTAGAGGTGCTGTCTTATTTTATCTCATCATGATGTTTTTGATCAGAAAGAAAGACCAGAACTTGTTACTGGGTTGGGTTTCAGACTGTAGTGATATAGGACTGCATCAGGCAAAGAATCATAATCTCAGCAACTCCACCCTGATGGAGGCAGCTTCTAGCAAGCACTTCTTTCCACAGTCCCATTAAACTCAACAGTTTCCATAGAGAGGAAAAGGGGAACTTGTGAAATTGTCTATCACAGAATAAAGCTATGGCACGGAGGGTCTTAGTCACTTCACCAAAGTCATGTGGTTGTCTTGTCCAAAAACTTCTTAGAGCTCAGAGCTCCAAATCATAAGTTTACCAATCTTTGTTCTTATCAGATCCCTTGCTGACTTTCCCTCAGAGCCCACTGTAGACAAGAAGGAAATAGCTGTAGCTCTCACATGGTAGGTAATTGTCATGGAGACCTTTCAATAAGAAAGGGCTCTTGGAAACCACAAACAATAATAATCTACATCTATTGCATGTGTGGTTCTAACTGCAGTACATTTAGAGTTGCATATAAAGGGGTTTATAACTAACAAGTTAGATATAACAATTGTCTCAATTTTTTCCAGTGAAGAAACTAAGATAAGCAAATAATTTGCACAATGATAGAGTTCACAAATATTGGAGTTCTGATTTGAAGCAAGTCTGATTCCATAACTGTGTTCTTAACCACCACACTTTGTTGCCTAATAAATCTTTGTCTAGAGGGTCCCAGGGCTAAATAGACCATCACTGTCCAATGGCTGCAAGATGGGAAGACTGAACAAAGAGCTATGGGAGGTTTTTTGGTCTTTGACTCTAGGGTACCAACCTTAGGCTCCTCAGCACCTTATCCTCCCTGTTTCTCATAACCCACGATATGAGTCCCTCAGTGACTGACAATATCTTCCCGCCACTATCCTTTCTGTCACCCAGCCTGCCCTTTCCTGTTGTGTCACAGAAGACTTTCTTTTCTCCTCAAACCCTATCTTGCTTTTACATTTGACCTCCCATTCTGCCTCTCCTCATCCCCTATAAGTCCCTAAGCATCCCACTAATTTATCCACTGGCTTTTCCCTTTACTCCTCCTCAGTCTATTTTCTATCTGCAGCTCTCTATGCCTTTCTGTTGTCCTCCTCCCTCCTCTGAGTCTTTTAATAACCCTCTCTCTGACCTTAGCTCCTCCATTCTCCAGTCCCTTTATCCTGCCCCTCTCTGCCTCAGTTCTCCCTCATCTTCTGTTCCCAATTTCTTCCTCTCAGTTTCACAACCTCCCTCCTCTCTAACTCTCAGCCTGACTTACTGTGTCCATCAACATCTTTCTCTCCGGCTTTCATCATATCCCCATTCTTCTTCCATTTTCTCATGGTCTGCAACCTCTTATACCACTTGAACTATGTATGACTCTCCCCAGCATTGCCCCTCTTCATATTCAAAATTAGTCATCATTTCACTGTCTCACAGCCTTCTCTTAACTGACCTCTATTATACCTTCCCCATTTCCTTAGCCTCATCCTAGAGTCTATCCTTTAGCCTTTCATTCCGTCCCTCTGTATATTCTGTGATCTATTTCCAAGTACCCACCTTCACACCATCTCCCATTTGCTCCTTCAGTGCTCTACTCTCTCAGTAGATCCCCAGTCTTTGATGGTACATGAGACCTTATGCTGAGGTCTGAAGCATTCTCATATTAAAGAAGAGATGGACTTTATTTCTGTATACTAGGGGAGAATAAAGAGTAGGAATAATAGGGAAAATTATAACAAAATCACTTTTCAGTTGGAAGCAACAACAAATATATTTATTGTTAATTATATCCCAGGTTTTGTGCTGTTTTATACACATAGCATGCCAGTTAAAGCACATCTCTTCCTTGATTAGAAAATATCATTATCATGACTTTACTAATGAGAATACAAAAGCAATTATTATATCAAACTCTGAAATCCAAAAAGGAGGGTGTCTTCTGAGCATCTGCTAGTATTTAGTAAATTAATTTGAGCAAGGCACAGGATGTGCCATTGTTGCTTCTCTTTCATGGTTCACTTACTGATGTGTTTTTTGGAATACCTATTTAGGAAAGATTAATTTAACAAGTTTACCTAGTTTATTAGAGTTGTGTTAGGTCTCCAGCTTGTTCTCTGGGGAGGGATATCTTTGAAAATATAGAGACAAAATAAAGAAAAATAAGAGAATCGAAGGAGCAGTTATGTCAGTACACTCTGGAGTTAGACTTGAAAGAAATTTCAAGAATTATAGTGAAGGTAGCAGATTTAAACATGTAGACTAGTTCCCCTACCAAAAAAAACCTCATAGTCATAGACACAGACAATAGCATGGTGATTGCCAGAGGGACAGCAAAGTGGGGAAGATACAAGATGCTAGAGGGGGCATAAATGGTGATAGGAGGAAACCTGACTTGGGGTGGTGAACACACAATGCAATATATAGATGATGTATTATTGAATTATACACTTGAAACCTATATAATTGATTAACCAATGTCATCCAGTAAATTCAAGAGATTTTTTTAAAGATGTAGGATAAATTTTTGTGACTTTGTGAGTGGAAGAATGAGATTGCCAGGGGACCTGAGAAAATGCTTGATGTGTAAGATGCTAGACAGTGAGTCACGGGTTCCTCAAGAGAGGATGAGTTGGGAGAGAAGCATGAATACGCAGACAGGATCACATCACGACAATAAGGAGAGAAAGCAGATTAGATTAGGCAAATCTGTACAGGTAAACTCAGTTGGTTTTGAAAAACTAGAGATAATTTTTCCTGCAGAAAATGCTTGTGAAAATATACAAAAAAGGAAATGAGTAACTAATTTTTGAGAATCTGCACATTCTGTTCAATTGAGCTCTAAAGATTTTTCTAAGAGAAGAAAAAAGCTTCTTCACCTGGTGCTCAAGAACAAGAGAGGGAAAACATTTGTTGAAGCTTAATGTCATTGAGGTAGGAAAAGGATTAGATGGGAATGAGAGAAAGAGAGAGGAAAGCAGGAAAACACAAGCTGCTTGTGAGGGCCATTGTTCACTGAGAGGTCACTGAGTTTCAGAGTGTGCAGTGACCAGAACTGTCAGCAGGAGACTGGTGCCTAATGATAGCAGGACTGCTCATGCTTACTGGTCTGATCATCTTCAATCCTTCTGCCACCTTTGTCAGAGTGAATAGGCCTCCTGAGAATGAGGATGCCCACCTTATCAAGTGCCAACTTGAGCTTCTCTACATTCCTGCTGACAGGCTTCCCAGGTCTGGAATGGGCTCACCGTTGGATCTCACTGCCCATTTTTATAGGATACCTTGTGGCCATCCTGGGTAATACCACCATCTTGCATCTGGTACGAACTGACCCTTCTTTCCACCAGCCCATGTACTACTTCCTGGCCATCCTGGCTGTGACAGACTTGGGCCTATGCATGTCCACTCTTCCCTCAGTGCTGAAAGTGCTGTGGTTTGATGCTCGGATGGTGCGCCTAGTGCCATGTGTTCTGCAACAGCATTTTCTACACTCCTTTTCCTTCATGGAGTCAGCTGTGCTCTTTGCTATGGCTCTGGACCGCTTGGTGGCCATCCGATTCCCACTGCACTATGCATCTGTGCTCACTGGGCCTCGTGTGGCATTGGCAGGGCTTCTGCTGGGCATGCGAAGTGCTGCCATTACTGCAGCACCTTCACTGCACCTATTGAAATTTGACTACTGTCATCCTGGAGCACTGTCCCATGCTTACTGCCTTCACCAGGACATGATCCTCCTGGCTTGCTCTGACACACGTTTCAAAGACTCTATGGGCTGTGCATCATCATGCTGGCCATGGGTTCTGATGTCCTTTTTATCCTGCTCTCTTACACTATCATCCTCCACACAGTGCTGGCCATTGCCTCGGCAGGGGAGAGGCTTAAGGCCCTCAACACCTGTGTCTCCCACATTCTGGCTGTGCTCTCCTTCTATGTGCCTGTGCTAGGCCTGTCCATTGTGCACAGATTTGGGCACCACACTTCACCCCTGGTGCACACCCTCATGGGCACTGTGTCTGTGTTCTTCCCACCCCTGATGAACCCAGTCATCTACAGCATCAAGACCCAACAAATCCGCAGGGCCATTCTCAAGGTATTTTCATTGGGGAAGATGCACTGAGGCACTGGATATGGACCATATTGTTCAAAATAGGGAATATATAACACTATTTTTTAGAGCCCTCTTAAAACAGTGCAATTTCTGTTCATTTTTAGTTTGATCAATTGATTGTACATTATGAATTGACTCTAATGTAAAAATAAATATAGTTGATGCTTAGTATTACTTACATGTATACTTCTAAACACATAATCATTATTTCTTACATTAAAAAGAATGATTTATTTTACATAAATATTTCCATGTTCAACATAATTTTTGTATTTTCTTCTGTACTGATCTGTTAGAACTCTAATTCTATAATAATTTTATTAGGGATAATTTTGTGTGATAATATGGAAAGATAAATTCTTACTTTGTATTTCTTGGATTGACTAGTAAGTTTACCACCACTTTTCACACTATATTTTATTATATCCATCTATCAAAGATAACCTTATTGTAAATTTAAGACAATCTTTCCAATGTTGCTTTTCTTTTTAACTTCACTTGTCCATTTCATAGTCTGGGACAGAAATAAGTCTTGAGATCCTACCATATTTTCCTCATTTTTCTTTAATTATCCAATTGTACAAATATATTTGATTTCTGTTATTCACATTTATTCCTTCCTATCTTCACTGTTTTTAAAGTGTCTTAAAATTATAACTACAAATATAAAACATCCACCCAAGAAACTTAGATTTAAAACATAAGAAAAATTTCAGTGTCCCTGGTTATATTTATCAGAGGGGAGATGGGAGGGGATAGTGAGGGAGGGAAGTGGAAAGGGTTTTCAGGAACAAGTATAAAAGACACATGGACAAAACTAAAGGGGGGTAGGATTGAGGGTGGGAAGTGGGGATGGCCGGGGTGGTATGGAGTGGTGGGGGGGAAATGGAGACAATTATATTTGAACAACAATACAAACATGTGGGAAAAAAACAGAAGAAAAATATATAGAATGATAGAAGGTGAATTATATGACAACTAAAATTTAAATAGATAAATCTAAGTGTGTTTACATTATAATAATGAAAAGCATTGAAGAAGAGGAGAAAGATAAAGAAAATAGTAGAAGGGATTGGTGAGTCAAGATTCACAGATGAAGTCAAAGTTCCAGCCATATAAAATAGATGGTAGGTAAATTTTTGGAAAGACAAATAATGTTATGTGTCCTGGAAGGAAAGTGTCAGGGTAGTAAATCAGATGTAAATGTGTTGGTAGCAGGACAAGAAACTGAAGAAGTTCTCACTTCATGGTGTTCATTTTTTCAGTGGTAGGCTATGAAATATTTTGATTGCCAATTGTGATGCAGTAGTGTATGAGACTTTTGGAACTCTGGTATTTTCCTAGTAATCTTTTATCAGGTTCTTCTATGTCCCAAAATACTGGATTTTTATTCCTTGAAAGAAAAAAACATCTCTCTTATCTCTCATAGTTTGCCTGCATTGTTTTCTTTTTCTTAGTAAGCCTTCCCTTAGCACACCTCTCTTTGTATAATTTCTCCCTGTTCATCTGTTTTAGTTTGAGTTCAGAAGGAAGGCAATGCTGAGCATTTCAACCGAAGAGATTTAAAAGAGTCAATATTTTTAAAAAATTTTAGAAGATTCAAAAGAGAGAAATGGCTCACTGTTGGGAAGAGTATGAAGACAACAAGGGTATCATACAGATATCAAAAAGCTGCTTTTACCCTGGGGTGGTCCCATAAAGTAGACCCTGCTACTAAACTAGTAGGGATGACACCATTACCAAGAACTCCAAGCAGCACTGGTATTTGGGAGTCATAATTTCACTGCAATCACAGGTGACTTATAGCTATCAAAATTCCTGACAGCCCAAGTGCCCACAGTAGATGAGTGGATAAAAAAGTTGTGGTACATTTATACAATGAAACACTAATCAGCCAAGAAGAAGAAGGAGAAGGAGAGGAAGAGGATGAAAAAGAAGAAAAGAAAGAAAGAAGAAAGAAAGGAAAGAAGGAAGAAAGGAAGAAAGAGAAAGAAAGAGAGAAAGAAAGAAAAGAAAGGAAAGAAGTCTTACCATTTGCAGCAGTATGAATGGACCTAGAGAATATTATGCTAAGTGAAATAAGCCAGTGAGAGAAAACTAATGTCATATGATTTCACTTATATGTGAAATCTAATGAACAATATAAACTAACAAACAAAAGAGAGGCAGACTCGTAGATACAGAGCAGACCAACAGCTGTCAGAGGGAAGAGGATTGGGCAGCTGAGTGAAAAAGATGAGGAGATTAAGTAAAGAAAAGAAAACTCATAGACACAGACAACAGTATGGTGATTACCACAGGGAGATGAGGGGAAGAAAAAGAGGATAAAGGGAAGGAGACTTGACTTAGGGTGGTGAACACAGAGTACAATATACTCATGATGTATTATAGAATTGTACAACTGAAACCTGTATAATTTTATTAAGCAATGTCACCCTAATAAATTCAATTAATAATTTTAATATTAAAATTGCTTTCTCAGAAAAACCTTTTATTGATTCCAAGATGATTTTAGATCCCCCTGTGATAGTTTTTTGTGTACCCCATTATTCGCCTACTAAACTCCTTAAGAAAATGGGTAAGACTTTCTTTATTTGTGCTTGCTCTGCTTTCTAGACCATTAGCTTCCATGAGGAATAGAACCACCATCTTGTTTTCCATTACAATTAGTTTGTGCTCAGCACATGATCTAGTCTGTAAAGCAGAATTGAAACTGAATTTCACTTGTTGACCAGAAGATCTATAGAAAGTGAGACAAAATTTTGGGCCTCATATGAAGGTGGATCACCAAAACACTGTCACCTCTCAGAATTGTCACACTTTCCTTGAATATGATTAAGCTGAACTATGAAAAAAAGTCCTTGGAAATGGTGAGTCAGTACAGTTTGCTCTTGAGGAGAAAAGTTTTCTGATGAAAAAATGGATTGTAACAACTCACCAGAAGAACAAAAGAACAGGACATAGTTGAAATCATTTTCTTTGGAGCAGATTGAATTGTTCTTTCATTAATTTCATTCTCCAACAAATATACATTGAATGACTATTATTTACCAGATATTATGCTGTATGTATGGGGCACAATGGTCAGACAGAAAAGGAGACATATTTGTATTGTCTAGCTTGGAGATCACTTATTTTAGTTGAGATGTACAACTTGTAAAAGGTTACCCATACTAAGAATGAAAAGGAGAATATATGCGAAAAAGTGTTCCTTTGAAAGAATAGATGTAATACAGACAGAAACAATAAGTGTCAAAAAAGAACCAGCTCCAATGTAAGCAGATATCAAACTATTTAACCAATGCAAAGAAATTGTATTTTCATGATGAGTAATATAACATTAAAAAGAATTATGGTAGTTTTGTGGAGAATGACTTGAAGGAAGAGAAAAGAGATGATAGGTCAGCTATGTGGTATTCAAGGATTTCAGATGAAAGCTAGGGGGACTATAATGAAGGTGAGAGAGACATTATAAAATACACCTACAGAAATATTCCATTATATCTAGGTCACATCTCCTTCACCAATTCATTTATCAATGGACAGTTAGGTTGCTTGCATGTCTTGGCTATTATGAATAATGCTGCAGTGAACATGGAGGTACATATATCTTTTAAATTAGTATTTTTGTTTTATTCAGATAGATATCTAAAAGCCACATTTCTGGGGCATATAGTCGTTCTATTTTTGATTTTTGGAGGAAACTCCACAGTTTTTCCTTAATTTTTGTAACAGTTTACAATTCTAACAGTAATGCATGAGCATTCTCTTTTCTCCACATCCTCACCAGCACTTTGTAAGTGCTGTTTTTATGACAATAGACAATCTGATATCTGTGCAGTGATATCTCACTGTGGTTTGGATCTGCAATTACCTGATAATTAGTAATACTGAGCACCTTTTCATGTGTCTGTTGGCCAGTTGTATGTCTCCTTTGAATGTCTATTGTTTTCAAATGTCTTTTGTCTATTGTATGTCTATTTGAATGTCTTCAAATGTCTATTGAAGTCAAATGGTTATTTTTTAATCAGGTTGTTTTGAGTTATATGAGATATTTATATACTTTGAATATCAAACTTTATCAGACACATCATTTGCAAATATCTCCTCCCATTCCTAGAATAGGCTATTGGTTTTGTTGATGGTTTCTTTTGCTATACAAAAGCTATTTAGTTTGATGTAATCCCATTTGTTTATTTTTTTTGGTGGTCCTTGCCTAGGGAAATATATACAAAATATAGCTATAAAAAAGAATAAAGTCTTGCAGTTTGCAAGATGAACCTAGATACTATTATACTATTGTAAAATAAGTTAGAAAGAAAAAAATGCCTTATGATTTCGCTTAGGTATGCAATCTAAAAAAACAAATAAACACACAAAACATTAAACAGATTCATAGAGTACAAACTGATGGTTGCCAGAGGGAGAGAGTTGGGGGACTGAGTGAAAAGGTGAAGGGTAATAACACGTACAAATTTCCAATTATAAAATAAATTGTTCACAGAGATAATGTACAGGAGATGAAATATAGCCAAGAGTACTGTAATAACTTTGTACAATGACAAATGACTACTATACTTACTGTGGTAATCACTTTGTGAGGTGTGTAAGTATTATACACTTGAAACTCATATCATAGTGTATGTCCACTATAATTTTAAAAATATTTAAAAAATAAAACTAGAGAATGTGATTAGTGAAATATGAGCAGAAAAGAAAGAGACAAAGATGATGTGTAGACTTCTAGCTTGAGTATCAGATGGCAATACAAGTTAATAAGATGAGAAAAACTGATATTATGAAGAAATAAACCCAGGAAATAAGATTAAGAATATTGTTATTAGCATGTTAGCTTTGAAATATCTGGAAGATATCAAGGGATGAGGTCAATTTTTATTTGTATGGTTGAGTTTTGAACTTAGAAATGCAATTTTGTGAATCATCAGTATATAGTGGTTATTTAAGTTCATGAAAACAAAAATAGTATGTAAGGAAAGTAAGTTAAAAAA